ACTTTTCAGGCCTACGAACCCTCTGCCAAAGATTGACAATGGAAATGAGTTGCCCCATACCCATACCCATACCCATACCCAAACCCCCATACCCCTGAGCCATGTGGAAGTGGCTGCCAAGCAGATAGTTTTATTTATAGCATCGCCTAAGCGTTGCCATTAAAAAGAATCTCTTGGCCAGCTTGCCCCCCTGATTAACTCTGGAGGTTTCTCGTTTAGGGTTGGGAGCTGGGCAGCCCAATGCCAATTAATTGGTGGACGTTGCCGTTGCCGTTGCCGTTCCCGCTGCTGTTGCTGTTGCTGTTGCTGTCTTTGGCCAAATGCTGTGTCTGCTGCTTGCAGCTGCATGGTGCTTGGTGTCTGGTTGCCTTGATGAGAGGCGCCAAAGCGCCAACACCCCATGCCACATGCCACAATGGACACAGCTTCGCGTACTCAGCATTCCTGTCAGAATTCTAGCCCGATCCTGAGCCCAGCCAGTGCGCTGTACTAATTAATAATAATAAAACACAAGAACATCCACAAAACCACAAGCAGGAAGACAACGACGGGCTCAGGTTCTGCCTTAGCCCGAGGCTCAGACTGCGGCTAAGAAACCAAAACCGAACTAAGCCGCGGCGCAGAAGGATTCTGGGAACCGAAACTTTTCATACTCTAGGCCATGAATAGAACCCAAAAGAACTCTTTCTGCCTCAGCTACTTGTCGTAGTGCCTTTGGTTAATCATCGTGCCCTTTGTTAGTGTACAGCGAGTCGAAACCAGTCGCCTTGCCGTTTATTTTTAGACAATAAACCGCAGATGCAACAGGCAACAGGCAACAGGCAACAGGCGTACTGGCGTACCGGCGAACGGCCTAATGGTAATGAGCTGCAAGCTATTTACAGTTGGGCCACGGCCTTGCAGCATGCCTAGGAGAGGCATCAACCACCCCCAACCCCCCAAGCCCCTTCCTACCCTTCCCCGTATTTATGGGCCAACATCAATCTGACTTAATGCCTGGTGCGGCTTGATTAGCATGTCGATGAGCATGAGGAAGCCATCGCACGGCACAGATGGAGTTTGGAGCCATAAAAGTAGGAGGTGTAGCAGGTGGATGGATGGATGACTCTATGACTGCCTGACTAGAGAGGGTTGGCTGAGTGATGAGAGAGAGAGGGGGGTACAACCCCCAAAAGAGTCGTTGAATGGCCTTCAACGTCCTTGGCTGTACATTTTGTTTGAACTTGTGTATAATTATAATTTATTTACCTATTATCGAGTCTCGATTTGAGCTTTGTTGTTGCTGCTTCTGCCTTTATGGCTCACGTTTTGTGCTCGCCAAATATTATAATTTATGTGAATATTGCGATTCGAATCTCTAGCCCCTGCCCCATAGATAGACTCGTCTGCGAGTTTTGCCTCCCATCGCATCTTCCCCTCTCCATCTCTATGTCTATTAGAAAACAATTTGTATTGTCTAAGAGTTAATCATTCATAGCGTCATCGATTTATTTTTAAAGCAACTTAAACAACGTTATTAACGCCTTAGCATATTATTTCATATATTATTATTATGTAAAAAATGCGTTTTATTGTTGTTTTTTATTTGTTTGTTTTTATGTCTGCCCCCTCGCACCTCTTCCCCCCTACGATTCTTGGAACTTATCTGCCTGTTTCTGTCAACAATCATGGCTGGCGTTTAAAAACGCGCCCTTACAGTTATGACAAGTGTCGCCATGGCGTTTATAAACGCGTTGTAGGCCACCTATGTATGACGCAGTGAATAAGACGCTGGAATGCCAAAGAATAAAGGTTCGTTTCCCTGATTACGTTTCGAAAACGCACTGAAAGTCACTGTGTGGCGTTTTAAAACGCTCAGACCTAGTCGCTGGGGCGTTTAAAATCGCGTTGTAAGCCCTTTGTGACGATTTGGGCAAGTGGATGTAGCATTAAAAAGCGCAGCGACTATGGAATGCCATAGAATATAATTACGTGTCGCTGAAAGCGTTTAAAAATGCACCGGAAGAACTTTTGTGACTTTTTAAATCGCGAACTTTACGTCGCCGGCGCGTTAAAAAACGCACTAAAGACGCACTTTGTCGTTATAAAACACGCCTTCAGTCGTATAGAACACACCGCCTTCCAGTCGCTTTGTGTAGCGTTTTAAAACGCGCACCTTCTGTCTTATAGGACCTCGTCGCTGGTGCCCTACTGCCGCACTTGGAAATGTTGGTCAGACTTTGAGCGCAAAAGCGATCGCCCCGAGACACATGAGATAGACAAATCAATATGCAAAACAATGCAATATTGGCAAGAAATATCCAAAAAAAGAAGACATAGATCGGTTTTTGGAAGGAGGCTTGAGAAGCACTCTTGGCCATGGGCCGTGTGCTGTGCGATTCCGGAGAAGACAAACGAAATCAAAAAGTCATCATGAGCGCCACGAGAAACGAGCGAATCTCTGAATCTTTGAATCTCTGAATCTCTGGCGAATCGAAAGCTGCAAGTGTGAGTGTGCCTAATGAGTATTCAATTGATGCAGAAAGCAATGAGCAGCGAGCAGAGAGCAGCCAGAAGCGGCCATAAATGGCCATTTGAAAGACGTTACAGTTCGATCGATGGAGCGCCAGATTTGAGATTCGATTAGGAGGAAGAAGTAGGGTGAAAGGGAGATGAGCGGAGAATGAGGAACGAGGAACGAGGAACGAAGAACGTGGAACGTGGAACGCTGAACTGCGGGCACTTCAGACGCTCTGTGCTGGGCCGGGCACAGTGCGAAAGGCACGGTGGGTACGAGATGTAGAAGTGGGCTGACACCAAAGATAGGAAAGAAGCTGAGGAGCCAGAGCCAGAGCCAGCGATAGGGAACAACACAGAATACACAAAAATTAGAAAGAAGTGCGCCTTGGGTATCGGGGTCAATAGGAAATGAAAAGTGAAATTTCGATGCTCGAAGCTCGATGCTGGCTTTTGTGGTGTGTACTTTACAATATATTAAATGTACGTTTGCTTCGTTGTTTTTTTCGTGATCTTTTGGCCAAAGGAACTTGCAATTTAAATATCATTAAATTCTGGGTTAAGCCTTTGTGCCGGCCACTTGAAAATTGCCACCGTATAATCAGTTTTTGACAGCCGACAGGGGTACGAGTCGAATCAGCCGCAAGCAAAATTGGCAACGACTTTTGGCCATTTCACTGACTTCGAGTGCTCCAACGGTCAGTCATGGGCAAGCTGGCGACACTCTGTCCATGGAGTGGGGAAATGTGTGCTTAATCAGCGGAGAATTGTTCGAAGAATTATTCAAGCAACAATCGAAGTGAAAGAAGGAATTGAATGGGGGAATGAGTGGAGGGAGTCGCAGCCAGCTGGGCTGGGCAATAAAATTTAATATCTATTAATTATGCATGTTATTTGTAATTTGCAAAGAGCATAAATAAATGTAAAAATTTGCCAAGTGCTTGTCAATTGCCTGGCGATATAATCAATTAGCACGATTTATGCTGCCTCTTCAAACTCCACAGATCCATGTCCGAGTGGCATGGCAAGTACTTGTATTAGCCTCCAGCGTGACTCATACGCTGGCAGAGTTCGTGCCAAACGAGACCTTCTGCATATTGAAATTCCACTGAATAGACAAAATACTACACAGAGTAGAAAAAAACCCTAACTCAAACGGCAATAAAATGTAAGTTCATCGCAATTAAAAGGGCGCATAGCTGCCTCAATGGGATTCATCTCTTGGGATTACCTCTGACCGGCCCGTAAAGTTAGCTGAAAATAACGAGCTAATAAAAGCAGTGTACGAGTGTGTGTGTGTGTGTGTGTGTGTGTGTATGTACAATCCGCCACCAATTGCCACCACAGGTGTCTGCCTTGGGGGAACGGAACGGAATCTCATCGCTGACTGATGACGCGACGACAACAGCTAGAGTGTTCCTATCAAACAATTGAGTATTAATTTTAATAAATAATCACCGAGAACGGCAAAAAAATAAATAAAATAAGAAGAAAACAAAAATTATCACTGATTTGTTGTTGCGGTTTTTGCATTGGCTGACTACAGGGAGGTTATCAACACAATGCCTTGAGTCATCTCCCGCCCCGAATAGAACATGGAACTCACGCTTAAAAACATATTATGGAAGACGGAAATGAATGCCAGGAGAGTGGAGAAAAAAAACACACACACAAACGATGGTACGAGTATATTGTATACGAAATACGCAAATAGTGTTTGGAAAAAAAATGCCATGCATGGGGGTAAGAATAAATTAAATTTGCGTATGGGCCACAGAAGAATCTTTGCGCGATGAATCTCAAATCTCGCATATCAAGCCAGAGGAATCTCTTCGTGCTAGTGTTTAAATTTAAACACTGAGCTCAGAGCCACTGGCATGTGGAATACCACAGGCAAATAGCTGTGGAGATGGTGGAGAGCTACGGTGAGGAGAAGGTGTTATCAGCATAGCACAGTTCAAGGTGAAATTACTTGCAAGCCACCACGCATCGATTTCGGGAACCAATATCTCTAGCTCTGTCCCTTTCTAGCGCTTGTCTCTGCGAACGTGGTGAATAACAATGTCCCCTTGTTGGTAAATTCACCTTGGCACAGCGCCTGGTTTGTGTTTACATTCCAGTGGCGGCAGAAGCTTCTGGACTGGAACTGGACTCGACTGGAACCAACGCTAAAGTCAAATTACCCCGTCCACTGCCTAGACAACAACAACAGCAGTAACGCTAAAAGCGAACAGCAAATTGTTAAATTGTTAAATACATTTTTTGGCAAAACGAAAACATTTGCTGGGGCAGCCGAAAAAGATGATAAATGATGCGCGTGTGCAATTCCCGCGAACAAATAGTTTCGCTTTTGTTGGTTTTTCCTCGTGTTTTAATAAAGCTTAACTAATTAAACATCTAACCAGACACAAGCGCACACAAACACACACAGATAATTAAATACGTAGATGTACTATACTTAGTGCGTGGCTTGGTGTAATATAATAAATGTATTATTATTAAATTTGTAGTTTGTGTTATACAAAAACACCTCTTAAATGTTGCATTAAACTGAAAACTGAAGATGCTTGAGGTTTGTTGTACCCATCGAAGGACAGCGAATCTTCGCAATCGATTCTTCGAACGATCTTGACGGGGTAATTGGCCAAGAGTCGCTTGGGTCTATGGCTTGGTCGTCCAATTGCTCAGGCAAGGTGAGTTGTTGGTGAAGAGACTCGGCAGACTGAACAGATTGAGGTAGGTGGACAGGAATGTGGCCAGTATGCCGAAGAGCAGCACGCCCATGGTGCAGGAGATGTCGCAGTCGAGGCGATGCAGCAGCCGCACCAGACGCAGCCAGCAGCCGCGCGGCGAGTTGGGCTTGGCGGCCACCAGCAGCGGCTCCATCTCGAGCTCCACCGGATCGTAGTTGAGATCCAGCGGCAGGCTGCCATAGCTTGCCTCGGCGGCGATGCGCTGATGGACACGCTCCATGCGGCGTATGCGACGGTAGAGCAGCGGCGGCAGAATGAACACCAGGGGACCCGTTATGGTGCCACCCACCACATCCATGAGGGCATCAAAACTGGGCACAAACTCCGCCACGAGCACCTCGAGAGCCAGCACAGTGGAGCGTATGGCCATGCGCTTGAAGGTAAGGCCTGAAAAAGGGCAAAAGTCTGTTAAAGAACTTCAAGAGGGGTTTCGGGGGTAGGGCAACTTCTTACTCTCCGGCAGCTTGAAGTAATTTTCAATCTGCAGAAACATGGCAGAGCTGGCCACAGTCACGGAGAAGCAGAGCTGCAGCGACATGAGGATCAGCATCACGTAGTAGGGCACGCTCGTGGGCAGCGACTGCAGCAGATTGTTCGCAATCATGGAGCCAAATTTGTAGGCAGCAATGATGGAGCCAAAGATGGCCACGCTGCAGGTAACTAGGAGAAATCATTGGTAATCTTTTGAGAGCATTAGAACTGTCCCTCACTCACTGGCAATTCCAATGGTTGCCGCCCAGGAGACCTGCGACTTGCGCTTCATGTCGATCTGGAGTGTCAGCAGCACCGGATGGATGTCGAACTGAAAGGCCAGAATGCTGTAGCTGTTGAGCACGGTGAGGAAGCCAGGTAGCTCCAAGGAGATGCCCTCGAAGGGTGTGCCAATGGCAGGAGCAGCAAACAAACAAAACCAGAGAAGAGCCACAATGAGAATCATCACGCAGACGGCAATGATGGCGAGACCCCTGCATGGACGGAAGGAATAAAAAGTGGCAACAGAGGCTGCAGAGAATCCTCACTCTCACCTCATATGCTTGGGACTGCCCAGCCACATGAGTGGACAGATGATCAAACCCACAATGATGGCCCAGTAGCAGTAGGAGAAATTGTAGTGGCCCGAGCTCATGCGCAGAACAACAGCCTCCAGGTTCTCCGCGGCCATCACCACACTGGGCACGGCCATGGCAAAGATGCTGAGATCCAGGAGCACAGAGACCAACAGACTCACATACGGGCCATAGGCCAGCTCCGCCAGAGCGGCATAGGGATAGTTGCGCTTCTGCAGGATGGAGGGATCCAAGTGCTCGGCCATGGTCCAGCATTGGGAGAGCAGAAAGGAAGTGTAGATCTGCAGGAAGATGATGGACAGCACCAGCAGCACACCAAAGTAGCCCAACTGGACCAGCATGGCGGGCAGCGTGACGAAGGGGAAGATGCCAAACAGATCCACGACATACAGGATGGCAATGAAGAGCGACAGATTCTCCGGCTCCTCCTCGTAGGCGCGGAAATGGGGCAGGGCACTGAAGCGGGAGCGCGACAGGAACGGCAGCTGATCATGCTGATGCGAGGGCGTCAGCTGCACGGGCGGACGTCGCTTGGGCAGGGCAAAGGACGGTGCGCGCGATGGCCGTGGCGCTGGCTTGACATTTTGCCGTCGGAAGAAGAACATTCGGAACTAGACGCGACAACTGGTAACACGCAACTGTGGGCAACGTCTTAGACGTATTCTGCTGGCAACAAGTTCGTTCTGTCGTTTGTCATCCGACACCCCATGCTCAGGGAAGCCACAGCACTGCAATGTCAATGCACGTCGACTCCAACTCTGTCGCTGCCGCTGGTCAATAGCAAAGTTCAATGCCTTCTGGGATGACCCACAAAAATGGTGAGTGTTTAAAGTGTTTATTTTTATATGCACATATCCACAATAGCTTCCCCTTCCATCCCACATTCCTGTATCGATCCTTGGAATTGTCTTTATTCAGCTTAAAGCTGCACTTGGGCAATTTTCTGCTTCTTGGCCTGGCTCTAAAAATAAGAACATTTCATTACTAAAGCTCATAGATCTGTAATTTATATGAAACTAACCTCTGATTTCTCATCGCTTTGCATGGTGATGACCTGCACTGCCTGGCCAGGGCCCACACGCAGGAGTTTCGGGCCACGCGGCGATGTGTCGCCACAGCAGAAGACCCGCGAAGTCGCTTGCTGCAGCAGCTGCGGACTGGGGCTGTCTGACTCATCCATATTCTGCTCGCTTATGAGGGTGCTCGCTGCGTTCTTGTTGTTGTCCGTGTAGGCGTGATTAAAGATCAAATGATTTGGACGCACTGCATCCGTTATATACTTACTACACAGTCCACACGTGGGTTAGGCAGGCGTGTCAGTACAACAGCAACAAAGGTTTGGTTATAGTTTAATTGGGGGGAAATACATTTGTGTTGCCCAGCGGCAAAATATTTGGTGTAAGTAATTGTGATACGTACACTGACCCACCAAGGATCTCGAGAATTATACAATAAATAACATGGGTTCTGGTGGGGTTGTTAGGTGTGCCACAATAAATAAGATAAGATATATATCTGTACATGCAAAAGCCAGACTGCAGACTTGCGCTAAAAGGAACTTGAACTTGTTTCAGCTTTGGCTCACTCACACTCCATGAAGAGACGCCAGTGCATTGGAAGGGCTTGAGATATTTGCTTATGGTGCTGGTGGGTTTGGTGCTGATTGTGACGATGGTAGAGCGGCCTCGGCTGTTGCTGCAGTGCGCGTCAAGGGTCGCCATCCTGCCTGCAGTTTGAGACAACAAAAAGATACATAGAAAGAAAGTTGCTGGACTGTGCACTAGGATGAGATCTAATGTGCGGCTTTGTGGGTGCAGTGTAGCGATCGATAATCGATTGGCGACTCATTCAGTGTACGTATCAGGGTTGGGATGGTAAGTGTACATGTGGAAAACACAAGGAATAACTAGGGGGAATTTCCACCTACGATTTAACGTTGAACAATCGCTGGCGCTTGATGTACTCCAGCACCAGGTCGTCTATGAGATATTTCACTGACTGTCCGCGACTCAGCAGACGTCGCACCAGCGTAGAGCTCACCTCATTGGGCACCCAATTCGTAATCAGCGTTATATTCCGCTGCAAAATGTACTCTGATTAAGTTGAATTCATCTCGAAAATGCACTTTGCATACCTTGTACTTAGTTAAAATGTCAGATTCAAATATAAACTTCTCGGGATTTGAGCCGCAGCGTGTGATGACCACCAGACCATGGTTGGCCACAATATCCTCAATCTGTTGGGCACATCGTCAGTCAAGATAAAACTCCAACTAAAAGCAAACTTACATCGGCATCTGCCCAGAGACCTGGCACGGCAAAGGACTCTAGTAAATCGGCGCCGCACAGCAGCTTTAGGTGCACGGGATCGGTGCGCTCTCGCAGCGAAAAGGGCAGCCAGCCGGGCAGGGAACCATTTGGCTCTGCATCTCCAGCACCACTGGCTGAGTTCAAGTAGTTGTTCATGAAGTTCTGATGGTACTGCAGCACGGACTGTGTGCGCATCCACTGGTTTTGGTGCACCTCCCAGTCGGACAGGCGTATCCAGTTGGAACTCTGAACGGCCAATTTCACCATTGCGCAGCGGTCCAGCGATGAGGCCAGCCCCTTCTTTGCATATGAGTCATGGGTGGGCGAGATAATGCCGCCCACCACCTTGTGTGTCCCCTGCATCTCAAAGTGATCCCTGGCTATCTCTGTGCACGCGCCGAGTGGATGACGGTATCGATTATATTTGGAAATTACACAATTCTTGAAGCCAAAGCCGCATGCTGCTTACCAAACATTCTGAGGTGCATCGGCGTGGGCGGACTGAAGCAGCCGCATGCGATAAAGGCGATGCGGGGCAACAGGCACTTTGTTTCCTCCATGAACGCCGACATTTTAAGCAAAATGTATGTAAATAACTCCGAGCGAAGCGCACATGAACCGTAATGTTTGTTGTTGTTTAGACAGCTGTTTTTCGCAATCAGCTGGCAATCGATAGCTAGTAGCGGGCAACAGCTGTATCGATGTTTTCAGAGGAAAAACTTCGATGTTTTTAATGAAATTCGTTGTTTGTTGAAAATTAAAAATTAGTGTGTATGTTCAAATTATTTTCAACTACATAGCTGCACAGTTTTCTGACTGTATATACAATAATTCTAACCTCTTAAAAATGTGCGTTATCAGTTCCAAATTGTTTTATTAGGGTTTCATTAATTATTCCACACCACCAAAGCTTCCGCGGTCTGCTTAACAGTCTCTTCCATTCCCACTTGCATTATTTTTTAATTACAATCCCCATTGAAAAACATTTATAGTGGTCCTATCACTCATCGCTGTTTTGGCCACCGCTAGACCACACTCGATTTGCCTCAGAACGACTAGTGGGCCGTGTTATCGATTAGAAATGGCGTCCTCACTGTCTTTCTTTTATGAAAAATTCGTGTAGTCGTATTTACAATTTATCAACGTTGTGTGTGTTTGTCAATTATAAGGACGAGTGCGGGCTATTCTCGTCTCACACTCTTGACCGATTAGCGCAACAGCCATAATCTAAGTGTTTTTAGTGCGGTACATAACGGCGACGACGTGCAAGCAGGGCGCCGAGTGCAAAAACAACGGCCAGCAGCAGGCAGCGAAACGAAAATGCATTTGTGACTGACACAAACACACACACACACCCATCCAGATAGACAGACAGAAAGACACAGAAGGGACACCCTGAAACAGCAAGGATAGCGAAGGAGAAGGCAAAGTCGTAGCGAAGGCAGGAGGAGGCGACGACCGCTGCTCCATCATCATCAGCAGCAGCAACAACAAATGGCGCTTGTGACGGTGCAGCGCTCCCCAAGTGTGGCTGGCTCGGGCTCGAATTCGGTGAGTGTGAGTACGCGGATGCAGGAAAGGGCTCCCAGATTGCAGCTCCACGTTGGGTGCATTTTCCACACCCCAAATCTTATCTTTTGCCGTGTGTTTTGTTGTGAGTCCATCCCAACCGACAAGGAAAGTGTGTGTTAGTGTTACTGTGTGTGTGCGGTTGTCAAGCTCCATCTCTCTCTCTCTCTCTCGCTCACTCTTGCTCTCGGAATTGTGCTTTGTTTTGGTTTTAATAATTTTTTTCGGAGTAAGTGGCTTGGCTGGCTCTCTATGGCACGGCCTATAATCGCTCTTCCTGTGCGTGTTCCGCCTTGGGTGCATGATCCTTTGTGTGTTGTACGTTGTGTGTGTATTTATTTGGCTTGTGCCCCAAAACGCAAAACGATTATTTCGAGTGGCTGTCTCTTGGCCTGGCCGTGCCGTGTCGTGGCGTGTGTGTGGGCGCTTGCGGCGCGGCGCGTCAGCGTCATCATCATCGTCGTCTTCGCTGTTGTTGTTGCTTTTTGTTGTAACTCAACTAAATCCGTAGCAGACGTCGCGACGTCAGCCGCGCGCCTATATGTATATTTTTGCATTGCCTTTTATGTCGTTTTGTCATCCGTCGCGTACGCTGTGAGATTTTTCTCTTTGATTCCGTTAGCGCCTACCGTCCGCCCGACCGACCGCCCCAAAAATAGTTCTCAAGACCTTGAGACAGCCACAAACACAAACACACGCACACACAAATCTTCATATGGTACGAATGTGTGTGCCGCCACACATAAACACTTTGTCGGGGGGGACGAGCAGGGCATGCCCTTGGAAAATTAAATCAGGCAATCAGACAATAATCGAGAAATCTTTATCGTACACCCTATTTGAACTTCACTCCCAATGAAAGTTGGTTAAAATGGTAGACCGAGTCGATGATGATGATGATGATGTACTTTCGAGTAAACGCTGCTGGGTGAGTGGGTGGCTGAGTCACCGGCGGCAGCGGCGGGTGACTGTAGCAGGGCCAGAGACAGAGGTAGCTGGGGGGAGTAAACAAATATTAAAGCATTTCCCGTTTCCCCATCAGGATGGCGAGGCCGATGACGACGAAGGCAATAGCAAGAACGAAAAGAGCGAATGCTTCTTTGCTGGCAAAGGAACCGCCCTGGTATTAGCGCTTAAGGATATACCGCCACAGCAGCAAGCGGAACGTAGGCTGAGCACGGACTCGACGCGTTCCAGTAACAGCACACAGAGCAACAACTCCGACATACAGCTCCATTTGCAGTCAATGTTCTTTCTGCTGCAGCGTGAGGACACGCTGAAGATGGTCAGTAAATCAGATCTCCATAATGCTTGCCGTTTACTTACTTTCTTCCTTTTTGGGCAGGCTGTCAAACTGGAGTCGCAGCGTACCAATCGCACACGTTACCTGGTGATTGCCTCGCGCAGTTGCTGCCGTCGGACTGCCACCAGCGAGCGTCGCCGCAATAAGATAATGCGTCACAATTCGGCAAAGGTCAGCTCCTCCACGTCCTCGGCCAACAGCAGCGCTTCGGTGGTGACAACACAGCGGCAGCATTCAGAGGACGTTGCACCTTCAGCAGCCAGTAAATGTGATAAAACAGCGGACAAGGAGAATGTAGCAGCTGCCGGCGACAACAAGAATATCTCGGGCATGGAGGAGTCCTGCCTGCTGGGCATCGATTGCAATGAGAGGACGACAATCGGTCTGGTGGTGCCCATCCTAGCAGACACCACCATACACCTGGATGGCGATGGGTGAGCCTCTGTCTTGCGTGCGTTTATCCGACAGCCTCAACACTGATTTTCCCTACTTTGCAGCGGCTTCAGCGTGGCCGTCTTTGAAAAGACACACATCTTCAAGCCCGTATCGGTGCAGGCCATGTGGTAAGTGTGGGATAACAGAAGCCTAACCAACTTTAATTACAACTCCATGCCGCTGGGCAACAGGTCAGCGCTTCAGACGCTGCACAAAGTATCGAAGAAGGCTCGTGAAAACAACTTTTATGCGAGCGGCCCCTCGCACGATTGGCTATCCAGCTACGAGCGACGCATTGAGTCGGATCAGTCGTGCCTGAATGAGTGGAATGCCATGGATGCGATAGAGAGTCGTCGCCCACCCTCACCAGATGCCATAAGGAATAAGTAGGAGTACCCAAAAGCCACTTAATATCCGGTTCTAAATACAAATTTTTAAACTGCAGGCCAACCGAGAAGGAGGAAACTGAAAGTGTCATTAAAATGAAGTTGAAAGCAATCATGATGTCCGTGGATCTGGATGAGGTTACCTCCAAGTATATACGCGGACGCCTCGAAGAGATACTGGACATGGATCTGGGCGAATACAAGTCGTTCATTGATGCCGAAATGCTTGTCATACTCGGCCAAATGGATGCACCCACAAAGATATTCGAGCATGTGTATTTGGGTTCCGAGTGGAATGCCAGCAATCTGGAGGAGCTCCAAAAGAATGGGTATACAAACGATTTATGCAATGGGGAACGTCCTATATCCTTAGAAATTTGATGCATTTCCCTTCTTTCCAGCGTTCGCCATATTTTGAATGTGACGCGGGAGATAGATAACTTTTTCCCTGGCACTTTTGAGTACTTTAACGTGCGTGTTTATGATGATGAGAAGACAAATCTTCTCAAATACTGGGACGACACATATCGTTATATTACACGGGCCAAGGCCGAGGGCTCCAAGGTGCTGGTGCATTGCAAAATGGGCGTGAGTCGTTCAGCTTCTGTGGTGATAGCCTATGCGATGAAGGCCTACAAGTGGGAGTTCCAGCGTGCGCTGGACCATGTGAAGGAGCGGCGTAGCTGCATCAAGCCGAACAAGAACTTTCTCAGCCAGTTGGAGACTTACAGCGGCATGCTGGACGCCATGAAGAACAAGGAGAAGCTGCAGCGCAGCAAGAGTGAGACGAATTTGAAGAGCACAAAGGATGCGCGACTGTTGCCTGGCAGCGAGCCCACGCCACTGATACAGGCACTCAATCAGGCCAAGTCCAAGTTGAGCGGCGAGGCGGGAGTTGTCACACCCGAGGAGGAGGAGGATGAGGGTGCGGGGAAGGACATACGACACTCGCGTCTCCATCGTCGATCGAGCGCACAAAAGCAGCGACGCATGGTGCGACGCTCGAGCAGCACCTCCCCGAAGACGCAGACAGCCGTTGTCACCAAGCAGCAGAGCCAATCGATGGAGAACCTAACGCCGGAGCGCAGCGTGGCGGAGGAGCCAAAGAATATGCGCTTCCCCGGCAGCAATGGAGAGAACTACAGCGTCACCCAGAACCAGGTGCTGCACATCCAGAAGCACACGCCTCTGTCGGTGCGCACACGCGTTCATGATCTCGAGGCGCATCGCTCGGATCAGTTGCCGTCACAGCAGTCGCCGTCACTGTCGCAGTCACAGCAAGGCCCCGTGTGGACCTCACTGACCAAGCTAATCACTCAAACGTCGCACTTGGGAGGCAATGCAGGAGCAGGAGGAGGCAGTGGAAGTGGCAGCAGCAGCGGCAGCGTAATGCCTCGTAGAGATTCAAGCTCCTCGGATGTGTTCTCCTCGCAGGTGGACAATGTCTTTGCCAAAGAGGAGCGGGAGAAGCGACAGCGTCGCAAGACACATTCGTGGACAGAGTCGTTTGGACCCAGTGGCGGAATTATACTGGATGCCGCACCACAGCAGCAGCAGTCACAATCCATCATGCTGCGGCCACGCGGCCTGCGGCAGCGGGAACCGCCGTCGCGCCACTCCAGCTGGGGGTCGGGCGACAATCGGAGCAGTCTGCCGCTGCGCACAAGCTCCTGCAGCTACTACGACAGCAACCGCAACACCACGGCCATCTTTGAGGGTGAGATCCAAGATCTGAAGCGAAGCAGCAGCAGCAGGAGCAGCATTGACCCAAAATCTGCCAGCAACTGCAATGTGAGCGAGGCAGGAAGTGGCCAGCTGGGGACAGTCAAGCGCACCAAGCAGAAGCTGGAGGAGAGCACGGTGCTAAAGAAGCGCTGCCCAGAGGATGCCCCGGAACAGGAGCAAGAGCTGGATGCCAGCGTAGGAGATGCTGCTGCTGTTGTTGGTGGTCAGAAAAGGTGTGCGACCCTCTATCGGAGCGCCTCGTCGGCCAACAGTCCCAGACAGCGGCAGCCACTGCGCTGCAACAGCGAGGAGCTGATGCACACCAGCGATATTGAGAACAAGAATACAACCAGCGATCTTGACGCGGCAACTACGGCGGTGGTACTGCGTGTGGGTCCCAGCCAGACGCTGGCTGAGGATCAGCGAATTTCGGGCAATGTGCAAATACTCAAGCAAAACTTTGAAGCCAAAGCGGCAGTGATTGGCGTGGGTTCGGCAGCGACTGTGGCAACGACAAGCAGTACTCCAGCAGCCACTAGTGTTGCTGCTGCAACAACAGCTGCCCCACAGATGGGTGGCAAGAAGACGACGTCCCATCAGTCACTGCCCTCGTCGCCAGTTGCTCAGCACGCGAATCATGTGTCCTCCTCCAGCTCCTCCTCAACGTCGAACTCGTCCGATTCCAGCGTAAGCGAAAATTGTGATCGTAATGTAAAAGGTCTAGTGCATAAATATCAAACCACTTCCTGCAGTAGCCAAGCTGCGAGCCAGACTGCAGTCAACGTCCCGCCTACAACCAACACACTGCCGCCGCCGCCGCCGCAAGCGTCTCAGCCATTAACCGCCAGCCACATCCACAACAACAGTACTAACACCGGCACCACAACAAATGCCACCAATAGCTACAAGCAACGCCCGCGCTCCTACTACGATCGCTCCTCGCTGTCGAACAAAACGCACGATTACAGCGAGAGTCGACCGCCACCCGCACCTGCCAGACTCACTGCCAGCGTTAACTATAGTAGCAGCAGTGGCGGGAGCGGCCACACCAGCCACGTGCAGCTGCCACAACAGCAGTCTGAGCAGCAGCAGCATCAGCAAGTGCAGATACGGCGTCTGGCACAGCATGGAAAGACCCATCCTCTCACTAGGCTAAGTACACCAAAGCCAGGCTTCAATACGGCTGCATACAACACCATGTAACGAAATGCTATTTTTACTTACTCATCCAAACAAGCTCCACATACCACACCATTTCACACTTACCATAATAGCCACTAAGGATCACCCGAGCATTGTTTTGCTTTACGTATTTATATTTTCAATTCGCCATCAAACGCTTTTGTCCTATGTTACTGTCATACCCGCATACCATAATACATGTCATGGTGGTGAAATTACTACAGGGTGACCACTATCCCTTTCCAGCGCTTGTCTTTTTGATCGTGTTGAATAAGTTAGTGGACAACGTCACGTTGTTAGTAGTTTCACCATGAACGTCATACTGTCCTCTCAATAATGTGTAAGCTTGTGTGTAGTAGTGCGTCTCATATGTTTTGTGAAGACCGACCCCGACTCGACCCAACCCGACCGACCGAACCAAACCGACGATCCGCAATCTTAAAACTGTGTGAAGAGTGCCGTCAGGGACTATAAAACAAAAAACAAAACAAAAACCTATGAAATTGAAACTGTATTTGTACTTTTAAATTACTTGTAACTGTATACATATTTATTTTATATTATGCAAGAACTGCCTACGAATAAACGAAATTTTCTGTATATACATCAAAACACATATTGTACACACATCATGTGGTGGCCTGTTCCCCCCTGTTCGTTCGTTTTTGTCGTTGTTCCCGAATTTTGTGCCGTCTGACATGCCTGAGTCATATCATATCACATCGTACCACCAGCAGAATGTACTCTGCTCTACCTCTGCCTGACAGCTTTTATGACCCAACTTTGTATTTGCAGCCTTATCCACATGATACGTTCCTTCCGCTACTCATGGGCCGAGAAGTGTAATAAATGAACGAAAACCCAAACCCCCCTGCTGGCTCTCAAGGCTGATGCCCGCCACCCACCTTGTTATACACAACATTTGTATTCTTTTTTTGTTTGCTATTTATCAAACCGTATTTATAAATATATACAACTGTAACCCAATTACAAGTGCAATCTTTTTTAATTGCGAAATGAGTCATTGAGTAGGTAACGGACCATTCCAAATGAAAAACCAGCGCAGAGTTGCAACTGCACAGAAAAATAGCCAAGTCATGGCATGCTTGAATGGTAGCAGCAGAGCTCCCAAACCAATTGCAAAAAGTGCAATATATTTTTAAATATGCAAAGTTTTAGGCTTTAAACCCGTTAAAATGTATTATCGATATACCGATGGCAACATGTGCCGCAGAATGATGAGCATTCATACCCTGGGGAAGAGGATATAGAATTTAGCTAATGTTTGTTGGCCTCAGTTTTACAAGTATCTCAATGAAATTATGCTGTTTAAGAGGTCAAGAGAGTGTATCTGGTCCTAGATATATATACAAAAAGAAAATCAAAGACATAAACAGGTACAAAACAAGGAACCATTAATAAAAAACAATTATTTTCTATGGCTGAACCTATTCAAATAGAAGGGGGTTTAGAGGGTTAAGTTAAGTTCACTCATCACTCATAATGTTTGGTTTATCGGTATATAATGTATTTTTTATCATTATTTTTTTTTGGTATATCTACACAACAGCGGCCACACTGACCCACACACTCATACGCGCGCACTCTGCCACAGTTTCTTTATTTTATGCAGAAAAATTAGAAAAAAAGCACGAAACGAAATCAATTGTGAGCCCGCAACAGAGGCGGGTACGAGAACAGAACGGTAGCCAAAGTGCAATCAATCTATAATGCAAGCTGCTGCTGCTAGAGCAGACGCAGTCGCATAATCGAACAATTGCTACTGCCCGTTTTTCGAGACAAGGGGAGACGGAGTTGCGGGTTGTTGTTGCTTCTGCTGCTGCTGGTCGTCATTCGCCAGTAGTCGCCGCCGTTGCCGCTGCCACCGCCACCACCCGTCGTCACTGTCGTCGTACGTGGCGTTTATTTGCACAATTGCCGCCTCGCCAACGACACGGCTTAATCAGAAGTCGTCGCTCGGAGCAGTGCGAGGTCGTCGCGAGTGCTGCGGCTGGAAGTTGCACCATCAGTTCGACCAGGCCCAATATGACAGACAACGCAGGAAACGCACTGGCCGACAAAGGGCTGCCGGAGATGAAGGGATGGCTGCTCAAGTGGACCAACTACATCAAGGGCTACCAGCGGCGCTGGTTCGTCCTGTCCAAGGGCGTGCTCAGCTACTACCGCAATCAGTCGGAGATAAATCACACATGCCGCGGCACCATCTCGCTGCACGGCGCCCTCATACACACCGTCGACTCGTGCACCTTTGTCATCTCGAATGGCGGCACGCAAACATTTCACATCAAGGCTGGCACTGAGGTGGAGCGACAGTCCTGGGTGACGGCCCTCGAGCTGGCCAAGGTGAAGGCCATCCGCGCGATAGAGAGCGAGGAGGAGGAGGAAGAGGAAACGGCGCAGGTGGTGCCCAGCCAGGAGATCAGCTCGGTGGTACGGGATCTCACCGAGCGGCTGGAGAATATGCGCACCTGCTACGATCTGATCACGAAGCATGGAGCCGCCCTGCAGCGTGCCCTCAACGATTTGGAGTCCAACGAAGAGGAGTCGCTGGCCAGCCGCACAAAGATTGTCAACGAGCGGGCCACGCTCTTTCGGATCACATCGAACGCGATGATCAATGCTGGCAACGATTACCTCCACTCGGCGGAGTCGCAGGGCCACAAGTGGTCCAAGATGCTGCACCATGAGCGCGAGCAGCGGCTGAAGCTCGAGGAGATCATCGAGACGATGGCCAAGCAGCAGTCACAGATGGAGCAGGCCGCCGTTTTGGTGCGCCAAAATAAACCCGTTCCGCCCATGGTCTCGTCCAGCACCACAATGTCCTTGAACGCTGCCGGCGGCAGCAGCTCCAACACGGCTCTCACCTCCGACGACGAGGTGGAGTTCTTTGACGCCCTGGAGCACACCTCCTCGGGCGACAGCACCTTCATCCTAAAGCTGAACAAGCGACGCAGCAGCTCCGAGGATCAATTCGATGGCCACACAGGCAGCTCCTCGGAGAGCGACGAACAGAAACGCATCATAAAAACCATCCAGCAGGTCTCGCTGGTGAGTGCGCCACGTGTGGCATCCGGCGGTGGCCACAACAACGACGACGAAGATGACGATGTGGATCGTGCCGCACAGCCCGAGAGCCGTGAGTCGCGTGTCAGCAATCTACGCAGCAGCAGGCCGGCAAAGGCTCGACGTGATCGGGTGCCCGACAAGCCCAATTATCCGTTGAGCCTGTGGTCCATCATGAAGAATTGCATTGGCAAGGATCTCTCGAAGATCCCCATGCCCGTGAACTTCAATGAGCCGTTGTCAATGCTGCAGCGCCTGGTGGAGGATTACGAGTATTCGGATATACTCGATGAGGCCGCCAACTGCAAGGATGCGTGCGAGCAGCTGGCCCATGTGGCTGCCTTCACCGTCTCCGCGTATGCAACGACAACGAATCGCACGGGCAAACCATTCAATCCGCTGCTCGGCGAGACCTTCGAGTGCGATCGCATGGATGATTTCGGCTGGCGCTGCCTCGCCGAGCAGGTCTCCCATCATCCGCCAGTCGCGGCGCTGCACTGCGAGAGCAGCAAGTGGCTGTGCTGGCAGGAGTTCTCGATGACCAGCAAGTTTCGTGGCAAATATGTGCAGGTAGGAGAGATATTCAAGCAGCTGCTCCAGTCAGTCTTCTGACTCCTTTTTTCTTGCAGATAAATCCATTGGGCGGTGCCTATGTGCAGTTCCCGCAGAGCGGCAATCGTTACTCCTGGCACAAGGTGACCACCACCGTAAACAACATTATCGTCGGTCGCTTGTGGGTGGATCAGCATGGAGAGATGGAAATAATTGGCTCGCATGCATCGCAGGGCAACAAATGCATCCTCAACTTCATCCCCTACTCCTACTTTAGTCGCGAGGTGCAGCGTAGCGTCAAGGGTGTCGTAATGAATCAGCGCAACGAGGTCAAGTGGGTGATACGCGGCACATGGGATGCACAGATCGAAATAGCGCCTGTACTCAAGACCTCAGGCACACCGGACAGTCCCACGTATACCACGGGCGAGTACAAGGTGGCATGGCAGCGTCGTCCTGCACCGGCGGATTCCGACAAGTACTACAATTTCACGACACTGGCCTGCCAGCTCAACGAAGAGGAGGAGGGCGTGGCGCCAACGGACTCCAGACTACGTCCCGATCAGCGGCTAATGGAGCTCGGCGACTGGGATGAGAGCAACAAGGAAAAGCTGCGCCTCGAGGAGAAGCAGCGCACGGTGCGCAGGCAGCGGGAGAGCGAGGCGGAGCATGCGGCATCCGAGGGCAGACCATATCCGGCCTACGAGCCCATGTGGTTCAAGCGCGAGAAGGAGGAGGGCAGCGAGGACTTTGTGCATGTGTTCAAGAACACCTACTGGACGGCCAAGGAGGCGCAGGACTGGAGCGGTTGCCCCGAAATATATTAAACTTCAGCAACAGAGAGAGGACAGCCTTAGTAAAGAAAGTAAAAAAAAAGTATGCTAAAAAAGATTCTTTCAACCAGGAAGCACGCGCGGGAAAAGTAAGAACGGAAGCAGCACACATTCTTCTACGATATAGAACTATAAATTGAAAGTCTCTGTAAGCCCTAGCTAAAGCCTCGTTACAACGAAATTTTGTCTTCTGTTTATCTTTTGTTTCAAGCATTTTGCTTGCATCATTTATGGCACAATCCTTTTTCGTAGACTCTTCCCCTGCAAGTGGAATCAGCTCCCCGCTCCACTCTAAGCCTAAACCCCAAATGGATTCTGTTCCTTTCCGTCTCGTTTTTTACATTACTTTGTGTATATAAGTGCAGAAATATATATAAATAATAATTATCTATATCTATATATCAAATTGGAATTGGAGAGGAAAACGCGCGAGTGGAATCGAATCGAGAGAATCATATGTTAAATGTTATAAATTTATGCAATTTATTATTAAAGTATTATTTAAATAAAGCAACAATTGTGTGTTTTCTGTGTGTCTGTGGTTCGATTGGACAACTGCCCCCGATAAGGCCACACCAGGCAGCTGCACCTGGCACGACTCACTGACTCATTATCACTTTATCCATCGATTAGGGGGTGTCACTGTGTTATCAACTAATAAAAAACTAAAACTACACACAGAAGATAACATGGCTGCGCCGGCTACCGCGGGTCACTCGCCCTCATCAATTATTTTCGGTCGTTTGCGATGGCTCAAATATATCCAGCGACTTGAGCAGCGCCTCCACCGATGGATCGCGACCTTGAAAGCGGCGGAACACCTCGACAGTGGGCACTGAGCCGCCAGAACTGAGGAACGTCTGCTTGTAGCGCTTGCCCACAGCCGCATAGTTGTCGTCGCTGCGTTGAGCGAAGAAGCTGCTCGAGATATCGGCGGCTATCATTTTGGAATACAAATGACTGAATTGTGCCGCCGCCCAGTCGCCGCTGAATATGTCAGTCATGGAGCAGGGATGGGCGTCCTTCTTGTCCAGCGGCATGCAGTGATAGACGGGCCACAGCTTGCGCACGATATCCAGCCAAAAGGCATTCGAGCGATGCAGCTCCACATCGAGATCGGCGAGATAGAGCTCCTGGCAGAGCTGGTAGCCAGCCAGTTGTTTCTTCAGCAGCGGCATCTTCTCGGACAGGGCAGCATCGATGGGCTCATCGCTGGCATAGTGGCCCGAGAGGCTGCGCAGCACGGTGGGATCGTCGAGGAAGTTGCTCATCACATAGCCCGACACCTGCGACGCGTCCCACTCAATGTTGGACAAACCGGCCAGGTCGCTGTAGCCAGCTTGGGTCAACAAATGCTGCAGTCCACTGCCAAAGGTACGGAACATCATCTGCAGATCGTCGTAGCTGAGGAGCGGCACCCTGCCCTGCACTGGATCGGCAAAGTTGAAGATCAAAGCGCAGAGCGGCGCAAGACCCGCTGACTTGTTGCTGTTCCGAATGCCCACCATCCAGCCATTGTTCCGCCCGAAGCGATGCTCCTTGGAGAAACAATCCACATAGAAGCCGCCCACGGGCGACGAGCCACTGCTCACATCCCCATCGAAGACGTCATAGAACTTGACAGCCGGATGCCAGACCTCAGCCTTGGGCTGCTCCACAATGCGAATGTTGAAGAGTTTCTCGCTGAGCGAAAACAGACCCGAAATCACACGAGGCAGCGGAAAGAACTCGCTCAGCTTGTCCTCCAGCAGATTGTGCTCGGCCGCCAGCTGCTTGCGCCGCCAGTAGCTCACATCGTAGGCATCCAGCTTGTAATCGCAGCCGCTGGAAGTCGCAAATTGTTGCAACTTCTCCAGCTCAACGCTTTGGGCGGGACCCGCGAACTTCAGCAGCTTGGCAAAGATCAGCTTCAGGTTGTCGACACTGCCAACCATTTTGGTCTGCATGGACATGTCCGCGTAGGTGGTGTAGTCCAGCAGGTTGGCCTGTCGGTGGCGCAGGCTGCGTATTTTCTCCAAGTGCGTGCTGTTCTCCAGAGCCTTGTCCTGCTGCGCCGATGCCTTTAGCACATTGGCACGCCACACGTTCCAGCGCTGCAGACGCTCCGGACAGTACTTCAGGAAGCCCTCGACTATTTGCGGCTGCAGCGTCACCTTCCAGGGACCCTCCAGCGGCTGGCTGGAATCGCGAGCCGTGGCCTCCAGTAGTGCGGGCGGGAAATCACGCACCAGCTGAAAATCGTTCACTGCATGCCCAAACGAGTGCACGGCCATGGTGACTTTGTTCTTGAAGCTGGCCCGCTCGCGTCCTAGCTGGATGATCAGCTCCTTGAGCCCGTCCTGCGAGTCCTTGCTCAGCGTCAGGCCATTCAGCTTGCCCTCCAGCAGGTACTTCTGTCGCATTCGCTGCTCACTAGCCCCATCCCCACCCAATGCATCCTGCTGGAGCAGCGCATTGTACACAGTCTTGTTGCAGTACTTGGCAGCGCGTGCATTGCGCGCCCGTTCGTGTATGTTCATGTACGACTTTGTGGGTATCAGCGTGCTGTTGCCCAAGTAGAGCGCCTTAGCCACGCCCCAGGTGGTCTCCAGGGGTCCGGTGACGGCATCGAGTTCCCCGAAGATTGCCGCACTGTCCAGCCGCTTGCCACTCTTGATGTCCTGCTCCAGAGCCTTCACCGACTTCTCCACGGCCGACGCCTGCTGTCCGATAGCCCCCAAGCACATCTCAATGGTTATGTCACTGAATGCAGGCAGCCCATCCGGTTTCAGCACGCCCTCGCCCAAGGGCCCCTCCTCACCGATTTCGGGTACACTAAACCAAAGGTAAGAAGAGGCCTTGCATTATTCCAGAACTATCAAATATCTGCGTATTTACTTACAGCACGATGTAGCCTGGCCGGCAATGTGAGGTGTGCAACAGACTGCGTTGTGCGGCCTGCGCAGGGCAGAGGATCAGGCGACGCTGTCGCAAAATGTTCAGCATGTTCACTGAAAGCAAGTGTACAGTTACTTATTTGCAAACTCTAAATGCGTATGCCCGAATTTATAACAAATAAAAAAAAGTTGTGGTTTACACAACCCGTATGGCCGCGGACTTATCGATAAAAACCATCAAAAATATACCGTAAATATACCGAAGCCTGGTGACAGCTGCCAGAGTTGCCGACAGCACAGTTTAGACTAATTGGGCTAATACATTTAATGTGGGTATTCGCAGACTCAAATCAGATGTACCATTCTTTAGTTCTAATGTTGTATACCTGAGGCTAAAATGATTATAATTTAAAAAATCAAATGAAGGCAATTGGAGGTTTTTAGATGTTTTTATTGGTTTTTTTTTTGTTTTTGAGTTTTTTTTTTATTTTTTATTGCATTTTTTTTTGGTTTTTTTCGTTTTTTTTATATGCCGAGCATAAATTACACATTGAAAATTAAAATACAAACTATATAAACTAGAACTAAAATAAAACTGTAAATTAGCTAAGAAAGTAACTAACCTAATCCAACTTATAGATTGTAAATGGTTGCTCTTAAAGAAAAATAAATAAATTACACTTTTTTAGCATTCTAACATATTGGGAGCATTCACATTGCCGTCACTCTGTTCGTCCTCTACTGTGGACGTGGTACTGCGTCTCCGTTTCAGTATTTTCCCCGGAGACGGCGGCCCAGAAGAGCTGGCGGAACTCACCAGATGATGGAAATTGAAGTGCACCCACTGTCTGTGATTGATCACCTGCTGGGGGACATCCACAATGCAGTCGAGAATGGGTCCAGTTATCTTTGTCGGGTCGAGGTCCACCAGGCGAGAAAGCTTCTGGAAGGCAGCTTCAAATATTTGCATAACACTCACGGCTGCGTACGAGCTGCGTCCAATGTCGTTGGTCGGTGTGATGGGGTCTTGAATGCTCAAAAATGACTGCCAGTTGTAGTTGCCCATGGTAGATCTGAGGTGTTCCTTTGTGTGGCAGCCTCCATTGCCGAGCACCGAAACCACACACTTGTTGAAGTCGAATTTACGTCCATAGTACTCCAGGAACTTCAGTAGCAACATCCCCAGCCTGTTGGTATTGTTGTACTTCTTGTTGGACTGCGCCTGGTGCTGGAGAAAGCCGATGCACATTAGGGTAATGGCATAGGAGGAGATTCCGCCCGTGCGGTAGACTTCGTTCAGACCGCGCATGGCCAGGAACTGCTTGAGGACCATCACAAGCTTTGGCAAATCCGGAAACTGGCGTATAAAGTCCTTGATCAGTTCGGCCGCCTTCACACCGGATCCAACATTGAAGCTGATGTCGAATTTGATTTGCGACACGCGCTCCGTAAACTTGACTACGGGCACTGCGGCCGTTTCAACCACGTTGACTGTGTGCGGATCCGCGACGCCGCGCGCCACAAGCTCACTCTCCAGTTCGTGCAGTGGCGGATTGTACCAGTAGCTCCTTCGGTTTTGCACGACGAGATCTATGTCCGAAAGCGGCAAATTCAGGCCAGTGCGAAACGAGCCAAATACTTCGACAATGGCCCCTGGCCATATGGAAACCAGCACATCTTCAATGCAGCGCACTGCTTCGGCGCGCAGATAGAACTCCGTCGCTGTGGATTGGATATAATTGTAAAACTGCTCAATCTCCTGATGCAGCAGACTGAGTGCCGGTATGCCATTGCCATAAGATTCCATTGAAAAGCTGGCTAAGCGCCAAGGCTTCGCTTGATTCGCCGCGTCACACATGTTGTATAATTAGCCTTCCTCTGGCCCTATCCAAGATCCAAGTCGTCTTCCAGAATTTATATCCTCCTTGTTGTTTAAGCCAAATTTTAGAACGAGCTAAGCCGAAGCAGCGAAACAGCAACAGAACAGAAGCAGAAAAAGAAGCACAAAAAGAAACGGGGAATAAAAATGCCGCGGCACCGTTATGTAGTGCTGCCACCCTGTTGCGATTTTAATAGCACTTCGATATGCACTTAACAATTTCCGAATTTAATGGAAAACCTATGAATTAAATATTTGAAAGAGAAATAATGTAGTAAAAATATGTATTCTTTGTTAGAAACGCTGGAATAAGGATTTTAGAGATAATCGAAAAGGGCTGCTGCGACAATGCGTAGACAAAAATTACGTTTACACGGTGCTATTAATTGTAAGGAACGGATGGGCGATTTTTTTTGACGGACAATTAGCCATGAATTTAAAGCAAGAAATAAAGAATTTCTATTTCAAACTCTAGTCATTGTTCAGTGAGAAGTTCATATGCCAGATCACGAGTTTAAAACCACGCATAAACGTGAGAGACGGACTGCAATGAAAATTGTCGGAAAAGGAATTGAAAAAAATGTGTAGTACAAGAAAAGATTAATATAACTTTAATGAATTAATTTGTTACAGCATGTTTAAGCCCCGCATTGCAAGGAACCGAAAAGACAAATCATAAATATACATATGTGTGTGTTAGTTCGAACGTAAAAAGTAATTAAACATTTAAATCTAGGCTTATTCCTCCTCCATGTGGCGACGATGCTGCATCTGTAGCTCAAAGCGACGATTTAAGCGCACTCCACGTATGAACTGTCCAGTTTTCTCTTTTGGGGCGCTGCGGCTCTTGAACATTTCCATGTGCCGTTGGCGTCTCTCTGCCACCTTATCCTCAAACCCGGTTGGCACAGTGGTGGCCGTGCTGGTTGCTGTAAATTTCTTGACCACGTTTGTTGATAAATTGAACGCTGGCTTCGACACTATGTTACTGCCACTCTTCAATGGCAGACGGCTTTGTGACGGCACCTTCGCCGAAGTGGCTGGACGTGGTGGCTCATGCAACTCATTTTCAGGCTGCTTGGCTGCTGTCGGGTTGCACCAATCAATTTTCCTGAGCGCCCGTGGTCGGGAGCAATCGCCAGCCGCCACAGCACTGGAACTTGGCATCTTCTTCACGGTTGATCCAGCGCCTGGTTCATGCTTCAAGGCTGAGCTAGTTAAAACCTTGGCGCGTACTGCCTTGCGGTCGAGATGGTCCACCAAATTTTCCATTTTGGCGAATTGCTTCTGATGAATGGCTGCAAAGTTTGGAAGCTTTGTTCGCATCTTCACCTTGCTGGGTGTGATCACTTGGCTTCCCTTAAAGAATTCTGAAAAGGAGAGCGTAAATTGTAGTTCTTGGAATCACTAAAAGTGTTCAGTGTTCAGTGGTACTTACTTGGCTGCGGAATCCTGCTACCCTTCGGGCGGATCTCGTCCACCGACATTGAGCGCTTGCGTCGATTTGTAACATCTGGAATTAGTTTTGTTAACATGTGCAAGAAATTGTATATTTTATTCCCACTTACTACTGGTGTTCAGACGCTCCCAGCGCTTATCAATGTCATCGACATGGGCAATTTCCAGGGGACTACGAAACGAGACAGTTCTCGATTTGATATCATCCCAAGTAGTGGCTGAATTTGAGCGTCGCTTTCTCATTTCTGTGTTAGCCAACTGGGTTGGCTTCCCTGTCTTGGGGGACTTGCGCGATGACGACTTTCGCGACTTGTAAGGTGTAGGTAATCGATTTATCTTGGAGCGGTTGGGACTTGGTTTAGTTGACTTTGTTCCGATTTCATCTAAAGTCAAAAGGGTCTGGTTCTGGTCATCAGCCGTTGTTAGAACAACTTTAATCGATGGCTTCACTGAAGCATCAGAATCGGCAATTTCGACTGCGACAACATTCGATTCGTTACTCTTTCTTTCCTCTGCGTCAAAGGTCGTGTTGAGCACAGATTTATCTGGCTCGGCCAGCTCATCATCGTCGATCATAATCAGCGAGGGCATTTCGCATTCAAATTCATCTTCGAATGCAGCATGCTCGGATTGCTCCATAGGCTCAAGTGGACACAATCCCAGGTCGTCCAATGTCGTATCATTCGGTGCGGCCTGTGGCGCCTGTGCAGTGGACACAGCATTTATTTCCACCGCTTTTTCTTCGGTATCAGCCAGAACTGCCTGTTTAGTTGTTGCCACAGCTTCCTCATCGGTCTCATCGGCTGTAATGTGTTGCACTCCGACAGAAATCAAACACTGTTCATCCTCATCTTCAGTGCCTGATTTTGAATCTTTTTTCTCAGTGCTAGTATCCTCTGGCTCCTCAGCAGCATCTGGCTTGACGACTTCTTTGTCTTTCTCTCCCAGAATGGTTTTGGGCTTGCTGGAAGCGCGTCTGGACTTGCGACTGCGCTTACAGGAATTGCGGCCCACTTCTGCGGCAGTCCACTTCTGTGTGGGCTCCTCAATTTCCTCAATCACTTCAGTAACTTTGTTCTTCATCTCCTTGGTAGCAGAACGTAACATAATATCATCGTAGTCCAACGCCGGGCGCACACTCTTGCGCGCACTGCGTCGCGGGGTTTCATTTTTTGTCATAATGCGTCTGCTGCTTGGTGGTGTTTTGGGAGGCTCTGGATTGGTGGGCGAACCCAATTCAGGGTTAGCTTGGCTTTTCTTGCGACCGTGACGAGTTTTCATGGCTAATGGTGTGTCTTTGTGTGTCCGTCCACTTTGTTTGCCAAGTGGCGTCGGCGCCAGGACGCTCGCATCATCGTGTTCATTTTCTAGTTATTGTAAATGCATTATGTAAACATTATATAAAATACGTGTGCTCAGCATTCTGCTTACCATTAGTGGATTCCATTCCGAATTGCGTATAATAGCTGCGATGAAAGAGCACAAAAACAAAATAATGCCAACAAATCGTCCCGGGCTGTACGTTTATTTTAAAGAGTTAGGGATGGGAGATATGTAAATGCTGCTATATCAATATATCGATATTTATATTTAGTTGGTGATATTTGTATGAGCTCATTATTTTTCACAAACGGAACTCCGTTTTTGAGTTTAGACACTAATTTTGCAAATCCAAAACTGCTTCTCTTGATTCTACTTATTGACTCACAGGGTAATCGGAATATCGATAATATTGTGCGATAACTGTGACTTGGCGGCGTTTTGTGTCTCAGGATCGATACATAATAAAAGCAACAATGTCAATGATATCCAGATTGTTCCAGTTTAATTCAAATCACCAGTCGAGATAATGTTAAAATACATTTAATAAAAAAACGTTATCCAAATACTTTAACATGTGAGCTGCCTCATGCGAAATAAAGCTAGCATCGAGATGGCATCAACGACTAGCAAATGAAAAATACATTTACATGTAAAATGCAATTCAATAAATATAAAATCTATTCCTATGATGCATTTGTGGCACTCTTTTAGATTAGCACTCTTCGATTATGGGTGTGGTTTGTCTGCTCAGGGCTAGCTGGTAGGCAACCTCAAACGCCTGTCCCAAAGTCAAAATAATTTCCTTGGCCAGCTCCTGTAAGGAAAGTCAATTAATTTACAAAAAGCAACAATAAAGGGAATTGTGGGGTACGCACCAAATTATCGACCATAAAGACATGACAATAATGCAGATCCTGCTCTTTGGTTATATATGCAAAGTACCGCAAATCCTCAGTGTCCTGGCACACACAATTGATATTCTCAATGTCATGGCAGCAGATGGCAGTCTAAAGAAGAAGGAAGCAACTTTTTAGTACAAGAAAATTCCCAGACTTTCGTTGGCTTACCTTTTTCTCATGATCCACAAACTTAACACCGATACACGAGACCACAATGTCCACGTTGAGACGCGTCTGCAGATTGGCAGCCTTCAGATATTTGGTGGATGTTGTGCAATTCTCGAGCAGGCTAAAGTCACTGACACTCGCCGCTGATTTCATGTTCTCGTCGATCTTCAGCTTCTGTATGGACTTGCGCGTGGACAGTGTGCCCTGCAATTGCCTTATGACCGTCGAGCCGAGATACTAAAAACGAAATCTGATTAAATACAACTGCAGCAGAGGGTTTCCCCTTTGAACTTACAAAAAGCGAGTAACGAATTTCGCCATAGATGAGGGTGTACGGCGAGTGACACCAATGTGAGTCGGAACTCGAGCTCTGGCTCTTGCCCAGGAGCAGCTCCGCCGGATTGCGTATGTGCAAAGAGTATCGTGGATCATCAGCAGCAGCTGGCAAGCTCTGGTGTTGCTCATCCTCCTCCTGTGCCTGTTCCTGCTCGGTATCTTGATCGTTTTCGGTAGACACTTCATTGCCGATGTTCTCAAAAATTGTATCAATCTCGGCCCACACACGAGATGCGCTAAAATCCTCTCCCAATGCCGAGTAGCGCTGCTTGGACAAACTGCGCCGATGGACAGACCTCACCATACTCGGCGAACGCAAGAACTCACGCTCCCGCGGCACTGAGACTCGTCCATCAGTCGTGTCTGCAGCCAAATTCAATGTGGAACCCTTGAAGAGTCCCGCGAATGGAATATCGCCTACAAATTCCTCCACATGATCCGAATTAAAAGAGTTTGTGGTGCGTGTTGATTCGCTCGCCTCCACGTGGCTATCCTTCCGCAGTGTCACGGGCAGTATGTAGTTCAATATCGTGTGCTCCGCCTCCGTAACCGTGGGTGGTGGGTAGTCCGGCGTGGGCGAGTGACGCACCGTTCGCAATTTGTTGCCATGTCCGTTGCTGCTGTTGTTATTGCTGTCCAGTACAGCGGTTTTCGCTGGCTCTCCATTGGTTGCTTCTTCGATTACCACAAGATTCGCATAGTCGTTGGTGGATTTGCCATTAATGTGAGTGCGTGGCATAGGAATCGGCGGAGATGGCAGCGACATTTCCACATAAGAAGCCACAGCCTGTTGTCGTGCTGCAGCTGTAAAGGAAAAACAGATCTTAATTAACCAATTGGACAATCTTCGTGGACTTCTTTCGCTCTTACAATTGCTGCTCGTGCTGGCGGAGTTGTTGTCATCACTGCCGGAACCGTTCCTCAAGAGATTAATGTACTCGTAGGAACGCGAGGGCACCGAGGCACTGGAGATGTCGCTGAACGTCTGGAAGCTGGGCAGCTGCGGCTGCTTGTACACCGGCTTGTACGTCTCCCAATGCTCCCTGTTGTCCCTGTCCCCCTCGATGGTGTGAACATCGTTGAAAGATTTCTGCAGTATGATCGGCTTCATGGCCAGGTAGTTATCCGGCAGCTTGGTGTACATATCCAGCGAGCTTAAAGAGTGCGAAAGTCCGTTGGCTTGATCTTGGTTTCTATGGAGGGGGCAGCAGCATTGGTTGGGGGATTGGATGGTTATGGAAGAAAGACCATTAGGACCAGACCGGTTAATTGAAGAGTGAAGCAAACGATCATGGGAGTGGGCGTGAGTGTACGTGAGGGGTGAAAGACTTTGGATGAGTGTAGTGTGCGTATTCCGTATGACATGAGCTGCGGAGCGGGCGGGGTGTTAATTAAGGTCACAACATTAACAGCAACAGTAAGAAACAGAATGAGTTGGTTATGGTATGTGCGTGCGTGATGTGCCACAAGTCATGGTTAGGGCGCTTACTTCCTCTGGCGCGCCGAGTCTCGCAGCTTGGACAACTTCTGACGCTGCGAGTTCTTTTCGAACAAACGCTTCGGCAGCGACTGTGTGCCATTCTCCACGATCAAATCATCAGCAGCCAGACGAGTCTGCTGTGTAATTGCCTGATTGGTGAACTCTGCAAAGAAATTTTAGATGTAAGAAATTACCAAGAGATGGCCTGCTCCACTCACCATTGATGACGCCCACAATGTCGTATGTAACATGAGGTGGATAGTCCGAGAGTATATTCAGGGCAGTGCGTCCGTTGCCATCTGTGGCGTGTACAAAAATGCCCGCCTTTAGCAGGGTGACCACAACAGACTTTTTGCCGCACAGCGCTGCCTCGTGCAGGGCGCTGCCCGCATGTGTCAGTATGTTGACATCCACGCCCGCAGCCAGCAGCGTCTCCACCACTTTTTTGTGTCCATTGCGGCTGGCCAGATGCAGGCAAGTGTGCGTGAAAATGTTCTTTGTGGGCGACGTTGCATATGGACTGGCATAGCCCAGCAACTCAGACATATCCCGTCCGTCGTCTCTTTTGTATGGCAGTATAAGATCTGGATAGACCCGCAGCAGCGTCTGAACCACCTGCAAGCGTCCGAACTGCGCGGCCAGATCCAAGGCTGTCTGGAAGCTGTTGTTGCGTATTGCCGGATCAGCCCCATAGGAGAGCAGGATGGCCACGACGGTGTTGTGCCCATGCTGAGCTCCCGAATGCAGTGGCGTCTCGTTCTCGATCGTTTGGGCATTGGGATTGGCCCCATGTGGACTGTGCATTAGCAGCATCTTCACAATGTCATGGTGACCCGCCCAAGCGGCGAGAAACAGCGGTGTGGAGCCACGAATATCCGGCACATCAAGCTGGGCATTGTGGGACAGCAGCAGGCGCACAATGCTGCCATGTCCATTGAGGCAGGCATGATGCAGCGAGGTGTATCCGTTTACATCTTGGCAATTGATGCTGGGACTGCGGCGAAAGCTGAAAAGTCACATTTAGTACATAAAAATCAATGGGTAATGCTGCTGCTGACTCACCTCGACAATGGTCCGTGACGTTTGGATGAATGGTCCAGCAGCTTGTCAACGGTTCGAATATCGCCACTTCTTGCTGCCGTCAGCAAATGTTGATCCTTGCCCATTGGAGCGGCGATTTGTTTAAATTACTGTGTGGGGAAAACGAAAGTGCGAAGAGCGCACATTTTAGTTTATTGTTCTATATTGAATAGAATGAGATCATCGCAAGAAAATATGGAGGAGGAGCCCCAGCCCCAGACGCGGGCAGAGTCAGCTGTTTACTTGCCCTTACTGTAAACAGAGAACCTGTCGATTTCTTGCCATGTACATATACGCACACACACATGCAGCCATGGCATGGAATGTGTGCATGTGTGTTTGTTGATTTTAGGGTCTGCTCCCACTCTGCCTCTTCCAAGGTCATCGAACGGCATTGGGGCAATCAATTAGATTGCGGCAACACCACTAAATATAGTTTTACTCAATTATTACTTACCGACTATGTCCGAGTCCAGTTGTAATGTGCGCAGCCATAAACGACTGCACCCACTTGTTATCCCCAACGATAAGAAAACGGGCGCGGATTGGGGATCAATTGTATTTACGTGGAACCGATCTTCTACCCTACCGTAAGCCCTAGAGGTGAGCAATATTTAAATGGAGCATGTCGATGGTCATCGATGTTTGCGCGTGCTAGCACGCTAGCCGATATCCGATTCTTCACACTTGCACATCTCTAGCGCTGCAGCTGCACAAGCCAAATTTTTTTATTTTTCTTGAAAAAAAAACATCAGATTTTGCGGAAATTAACCAGAATTAAGTAATTAGTAGTAGCAATATGGAAACGACAAGCGTGAGCACAGTTAAGCCCAAACGAAAAGATAAATCCGAAGGTAAGTGAAAGCATTTAAATCTGTCTAAGCGAAAACGCGGGGTGAGGTGCGAGGTGTGCCGGCACAAAGAGTCGAGAGTCGTGTGAATATTTCTGATAACGCGCATGGTGTGGCCCCCATTAAAGTTTAAGGTATGCCCCGTGTGTCTGCCATGCTTAATGCAATATCATTCATTATGTTGCCCTTGCAGACGTACAAGAGGAGAGGAAGCAAGAGGAGACGCCGAGTGGCGAGCCACAGAGGAAGCTACTGCGCCTCGGCGAAACACTGGACAAACCACTGGCCGTGCCGGAGGTGCAACTAAATGCAGTATATCAGCAAAAGGAGCTCACGCAGTGGCTACAGACGACATGGACAAAGGCGAAGGGCGATGAGACCGTCAAAGATGATAAAACCGGCGCACAAGTGTTTGCGGATCCGTTCCAGATT